GGGAGGGCCAGGAAAGAGGAACACCGTTTTGCCCTTCTAGCCCTTTTACTGCCTTTGATGTATTTACTTTGAGAAAACAAGTTAAAGGCTTGAAAAGAATACAGGATTGCTTTGTCATCCTGATCAGGGATGAAAAACAAACATTTTCCTAGCATCCCAACCCAACCCAAGCCCAGCGCTGTTGAATCGATTCGTACTCATTATAACCTCATAGCACCAGTGGCCTCACTGAGTCTCCGAGGATGTAAAACTTCCCAGAAGCACCTGGGCACAGCTTTCTCCCGGGAGCAGCTGGTAGGTTCACAGTGCTGACCTTTTGGCCTGCTGGCGAGCCCTTTAAGAACCGTGTCATCGCCTTGATTGGCCTGCAATCAGGCCCAAGGGGCTCGGTACTTGGGGAAGCCCTTGTCTGAAGGCACAGACCAGAAAGGGGACTTTCATCAGCTGCTCCTCCCAGGAGGTAAGTCAAGCTCGCCTGGCTTCCCACGCTGGCCTTGCACGCAAGACAGGGGGAGGTGGTGCACAAAGGGAGCGTGCTAGCTAGACAGCAGAGCCCCAAACAAAGACGGGAGTGTGCCCTTCTGGCCTCAGCTACACAGCGACACATGCCAAGCTGCAGCCAGCCCCATCACAGCATGCCGGCTTGCAGGGCCAAGCAGAGATCGCCCGCCCCACATCTCCATGGAGCCACAAAGCCTAACAATGATGAAGGGCAACTAAATAATTAAATGTACTAATTAACCTATTCTGCCCAAGGTCACACAGGTACGGACCCAGTTCTCTGGGGAAGTGAAGTTTTCCCTAGTGCTTGATCCTCGGTAGGCAGGCCGGAGAGTGTGACCCCATCAAGTCAGTGTGCCCTCACCACCGATTAGAGTCAGCTCCACCTTTGCATCTAAGGGGCCCTGGTGCCTGCAGTTGGACACTGAGCTGCTGATCACAAGGTCAGTGATTCAAACACAGCAGCTGCTCCGTGGGAGAAAGACGAGGTTGTCTGTTCCTATAAAGATCTTAGTCCCAGAAACGCAAGGCAGGGTCACTATCGGTGAGAATCAACAGCGAGGCAGTGGGCGTGGCTATTGTGGAACCTGTGCATCTGGAGAGACCCGTTTTCTTTACTCAAAATAAATCCCGACCATCATATCCACAAAGCGAGAGAGACGGGCCTTCGACTCCTGTGCCAAGTTCCAGTCTCAGAAACCCACAGGGGCAGTTCCACCCTGTCTTGTAGGGTGTCTTTGAGTTAGCATCAGCTCAAGGACAGTGAGTTTGGTGTTGGTTTATATATCAACCAGGTGGCATAGTGGCTGCATGTTGGGCTGCTAACTGCAAGGTCAGCCGTTTGAAACCACCAGCTCGCTGTTCCATGGCAGAAAAATGAGGCTTTCTCTTCCCAGACAGAGTTATCGTCCTGGGAAACCCTCATGGGGCAGTCGTACCTTGTTTTATAGGGTCATGAAGAGTCAACATTGATTCGATGGCAGGGAGTTTGGAGGTGTTTTTTTAATCTTATCAACAAAAGGAGCCCTTAGTGGCATTGCCATATAAGCGTTAAACTGCTAATCACATCTGCCATTCAAGCCCACCAGCAATTCTATGAGAGAAAGCTGAAGCTCCCTGTTCCTGTTTATAGACTCAGCAGTCCTGTAACCAAACCAAACTCATTGCCATTGAGTTGACTCTGATTCACAGAAACCCTATTGGACAGAGTAGAACCGTCCATTGTGGATTCTCGAGGCTGAAACTTTTTATAAGCGTAGAAAGCCTCCTCTCCAGTGAAGCTGCTGGTGGTCTCAACCCACTGACGTTGATGTTAGCAGCTCAACGTGTAACCACTACCCACCAGGGCGCCACAGAAACCTCATGTAGAGTCACTGTCAACTAGAATCAACTGGATGGTAATGAGTTAACAACTTCTCCAAGAAGCCTAGTTTCCATCCTCCCCCCACCCCCCCACACACACTGCCTTCCTATCCTAGCACTTGGTTGAGTCAGTCCCTCAGAGAGCCAAACAGTTCGCATTCACCTCTCTAACCAAGAGGTTGTTGGGTTGAACATGCTCCCAGTGGTTCCTAGGAAGAAAGGCCGGGCAGTCTGCTTTCTGAAAAGATAGTTGTTCGTTGCTATCAAGACCATTCAGAAAGTGGAAGCAGATCCTCCATTTGGTTCCCACAGCTCCTCCGTGTGGCTTTCAACTGCCGTCCTTTCTGTAGCAATCAGGTGTTTAACCCTTTGTGTCATCCAGCAACTCCACATATAAAAGGTTATGGTCAAGGAAACCCTACGGCAGGGGTTCTCAACCTGTGGGTCACGACCCCTTTGGGAGTCGAACCACCCTTTCACAGGGGTTGCCTAAGACCATCGGAAAACACATATTTCCAATGGTCTTAGGAACCGAGACCCCGCTCCTCTGTCCGTCTCCAGGTGGGTCCACCCACACGCAGATACGCCCACATACGAGTACCCCGCATAAAGACTGTTACCCATGCTACACCATGCGTCAAGCCAAAATTTCATTTATTTGTCATTAGAAATAAATATTTCACAATATATAATGACATTATTTTTGTGATGAACCACTATGCTTTGATTATGTTCAATTTGTAACAATGAAAATATATCACATTGCGATTCATAACAGTAGCAAAATGACAGTTATGAAGTAGCAATGAAATAATTTTATGGTTGGAGGTCACCACAACATGAGGAACTGTATTCAAGGGCCGTGGCATTAGGAAAGTTGAGAACCACTGCCCTATGAACAGTTAGTTCTACTCTGTAACAGTGGGGTTGCCATGCTTTGGAATCACCTGGGTGGACACAGGTGAATTTTGTCATTGACTCTGTGGTCACTCAAATTCCTACTATTTCATTAGTGACATATCTTAATGGGCTGCCAGGGGTATTTCCCAAAGATGTAATTTACTTTGTGCGGCTTGTAGGTTGAGTTTTTAAGAGCATGAACACTTTGTCCCTCTATGACATTCTTTTGTCTCCCAGGATGGTGGCATTTCCTCCCTATCGTTTTCTGTGATAAACTTTTCCTTTCCGGGCATGCAGAAGTGACGTGATCTCTGAGGATCAGAGTTTCCGATAGGTGCTGCCCTTCCTCGCAATTGCCTTAATGTGCTGCCGAACTTTCCCTGCTACACTGCTCACATGGGTTCTTGCATCATCTTCTCAAGACATTCCTCTCTGGTTCCAAGTCAGCATTTTTTCCTCTTTATGTGGGTTTGACTCAACCAGATGGATAGACACAATGGGCAGCAGTTTGAAACCACTAACTTGCTCCATGAGAGAAAGATGAGGCTCTTTGCTCCTTTAAAGATCTGCAGTCTTGGGAACCACAGAGGCGGGTCTGCTGTGTCCTATGTTGCCAGGAGTCAGAGTGGACTCAATGGCGTGAGTTTGGGATTGGTATATGTGTTTGCTTGAGTAGCTATGGCCAAGTTCCTCAATAGCTTTTCACTTCTTGGCCCACTTATTTTTTCATTCCAAAGACCTGGAAAAATTAAACAAGGGAGAAAACATTTATTTCATTATGTTTTAGGGGGAAAACCAAAACTCACTCCCGTTGAGTTGATCCTGACGCAACTTAATTGAAAATCCTTTAGACCACAGTTCTGCCCTTAACACACATGAACTGCAATGAGTTTGGGTTAACTTGATGACAACTGATTTTCAGTCTCTCTCTCTTTTTTCCAGTCCTCTTATCACCTAGCATTGAATTGGCTTCCTAACTTCTTAACACACTGTGTCTTAGGGGAATATAAATAAGATGTCCCATGCACAAGACACTCTCATTGACAAAAGTTTTAAAGTATGTATATTTCCTTTGAATAATATCTAATAAAGGCATTTTGCTAGGGTTAAAAAAAAAAGAAATTCCCTTGTGGGTTTTCGACTATAACTTTTTAAGGGAGTAGAAAGCCTCATCTTTCTTCCATGGAGCGACTGATGGCTTTGAACCACTGACTTCTTTTGACACAATAAAATGTACCATTTGGTCTCTTGAGTGCTGCCTCCATAAATATTGGTTGTAGATCCATGCAAGATGGAATCCATAAGATCTTCCATCTTTCCTCCATTTATCATGATGTTACCTATGGTCCAATTGTGAGGAATTTTGTTTTCTTTAAATTAAGTTTTTATCCAAACTGAAGGCTGCAGTCCTTGATCTTCCTCAGCGAGTGCTTCAAGTCCTCCTCACTTCACGCAAGCAATGTCGGGTCATCTACATATTGCAAGTTGTTAATAAGCCTTCGTCCAATCCTGTGCTGTGTTCTTCTTCATATAGTCCAGCTTCTTGGATTATTTCCTCTTCAGATTGACTAAGTATTGTGAAGAGATGCAACCTTGATGCTCATCTTTAACAATGCTATACCATGCAGTATTCATTTGTCCTGTTTGAGTCACTCCCTCTTGGTCTGTGTACACATTCTGCATGTTCTGTACTTCCCATGCTTCACACATAAAAGAAAGTCTAAAAGGAAGCATGCACTTGGCACATCTAAAGGAAGAATGCGCTTGGCACATCACAAGCTGAAAGAACTGAAGAAAAGAATTCAAGCCTAGAATTGCAATATTAAAGGATTCTATGTGTAAAGGACTTAGTGATGCAAGAATCATCGAAAGAAGCTGGAAGGGGTATATAGAACCGCTGTCCCAATATTCAAGAAACAACGGTATGGAGAGAAGTCCAAGCCTCACTGAGGGTCTTAGCAAAAACCCAACCTCCAGGAATGGAAATATTTCACCAAGCTGATGAAACATGGCAAGCACTTAATTGTCTATGCCAAGAAATTTGGAAGAAAGCAACCTGGCTAGCTGACAGGAAGAGATTCATATTTGTACCCTTTCTAAAGAAGGGTGACCCTATAGCTTTTGATAGCCGGGCACCATCAGCTTTCTTCACCACATTTGCTTCTGCACATATTTTTCTTCAGCAATCGTGTTGGGAAGGTGTGCATCCTGGAATACCAATTTTTTTTTTTGACTCACAGCTCTTTATTGGGGTCTGGAGAAGAGGTGGTCCCAGCCTCCAGGTGAAGCCAGAAGTAGGGGAGCAGCTCCTGCCCGCGGCTCAATACCAGTAGACTTTCTTGTGTTTCCGGGTCTCCTGGATCCCCATTGCCTACATCACCTCCTCCTCCAGGGTCTTCAGACGGGGCACATAGGTTCTTTCAAGAGCATCTTCCATTGATGTGTCTTTGGGGCCATCAATCCATGTTTCCGGAACAATGCCATCAGCTCTGGGAAAATCTGGCTTGGGGATAATTCTTCCTGATCTCGTGGAGACCCGTACCCGCTCTCCGGCCTCCGTGAACCTCCACTCTATCTCCGTGGGTTTCCTGTCCACAGGATCCACAAGGGTGACCTGGCGGTGAAGTAGGGGGGCTTCACTAGGAACCATGGTTCCCCGGTATTCCTCGGTCCTGCC